CTCTCTCTCTCTCTCTCTCTCTCTCTCTCTCTCTCTCTCTCTCTCTCTCTCTCTCTCTTTGCTACTGTTCACTCTCTCTGGGGGTGAGACAGCAAAAGAGAGTGAAATAAATTTAGTGTTCATGGATTCATCCAACTGTGGTGCTTTATTTTCAGCGAATGGTACATGAATGGGCAAATTTTAATAGTTGTCGTCAGCGTTAGTGTCATCCTGCCCTTGGCTCTGATGAAACATTTAGGTAAGTGACAGAAAGTGTTTGTCCTGTGTTCTGCTTGTGCGTGCTTGGATAAATATTGCCTGAACCTCTGTGTGTACTTTTTTGCGTCACTGCTGGTCTTCTCCCTTAGAGTTCAAGGCAAGATTGTGTCATTTCAGTCTGTGAGTGGAGGCATATATATCAGTGCTACCCCCATCTGGAGGGAATCAGCATTACTTCCTATGAGGATCTTATACTGACACTGATCTTGTAACCTATTGTTGCAGAGAATTATTTGGGGCACAGAAGAATATTAGCATTGCCAAATTCAATTGTGTTGACTTTCCAAATTGGAGTTTTGATTGAATTTAAACTGCAAGCTCAAATCTGATACATCTAAATTCTTTCAATTAATCTGGGATGACGGAAGATTTTCACCTGTGCATGCTTGCATTTTTTATCATCAGATTAATTTAAATTAATACAATCATAGAATATAAGGGTTGAAAAAGCTCTGGGGAGAGCCTCTAATTCAATCTCTCACTAAATGTAGTAATCCAATACTATGGCATTGAATTGGTCCAGTTTGAATGTAGTTGATCATCCTCCGTAGTGAACTTAACATTCAAAATCAAATCAACCATTCCATACTAAATCAACAATTATGCATTTTATGTAATAAATAAATGTAAATTGAATGAAGCCCAATTTGAACACCAATATGACAATTTGGTAAACATATACTAAAAAAGTGTGTTTTTTCTGGTTGCTTTGTTATTTTTGCTTTCTACATTGGAATTGGTTGCTTGCAATTGTTAAATGTCCTTCGAGGCTGAACCCACTGCACTCTTTTCTCCCAAATTTTCCATCATAGCATAGATGTTGAATTTGAGAAGGCCATTGCATCAGTTTAGAACTAAGGAAGCTGTCAGAGTTGTATTATTTTAAGAGCAGATATATCTAATTAGTGATGGCTTCCTTTTCCATATTTAGCTTTCTTTGCTGTAAAATCTTTGAGAAGCTTTTTATCAAGATCCTGTATATAAGACTGATGCACTTCTTTTGCTCCCTTCCTTCTTTTTACAGGTTACCTTGGTTATACCAGTGGACTTTCACTCACCTGCATGTGTTTCTTTCTCATCTCGGTGAGTTACCTAATTCCCAGAAACTCTGGCTTCTCCCAGGAAGAAAAGGTGCCGGATTTAAATAGGAAATATGTGTCACCATCCTTTAAGAGCTGTACGGTTGCTGCTTTTTTTGCTGCTTTATGTCCCATTCACGCTTTCCTGATGCTCACCATCCATTTTCCATTCCTACCACAAAGGTAATTTACAAGAAATTCCAGATCCCCTGTCCCCTCAATAATACTGTGGGAATCAATAGCACCACGGAGTCCAGCCATGATACCTGTAGTGCTGAAGTCTTTCCTCTCAATTCTCAGGTTAGTATGATGGTATCGGAATCTAGTGACATTGAACACATTAAGAGTAATGGTAGAGCAGGGAGATACAGTTTGGCTATGGACTATATGACTCCTACCATATTCTAATCACACAGTACGTTTTGTGCCAGAAGGTGTGCTGGAAGCTCAATCTCTATGGCAGTGTTTCTCAACCTTGACAATTTTAAGGCATGTGGACTTCAACTCCCAGAATTCCACAGCCAGCAATGCTGGCTGTGGAATTCTGGGAGTTGAAGTCCACATGCCTTAAAATTGTCAAGGTTGAGAAACACTGCTCTATGGACTTAGTCCGGCATCTTAACCTCTATAGAACATTGCTTCCCCCCCCCTTTCTTTTAGTGAAGTACATCTAGTACTAAAGTCACTGGGATGGGGGAGCAATAGGATTCCCAGATTATTCCTAGTAATCATACCTAGAATTACAGATTTTCTTTGAGAAGGGGGACAATATTCTGCAAGCAGATTATTTGGGGATGAAGATGGGATACAATCTGAGTGTATATATAAAACAAAATGAGTATACATCCTTGTGAAAAAAAGGCACCAATTTAATAACCTGAATGTTGAAAATAACTTAAGTACGGATGCAGAATTTATACATTATAAAACTTAACATTTAAATTGTAAAGATGTATTTGGTATATAGTGCTGAATAAATACTTGGACTACTAGATGAATTTCCTCAAAATCCTGTAATACCCTGGAAAAATTAACTGATCTTTTAACCGAACATTAATGTAAATATCATTTAGCAGCATCCTGGAATAAAGATGGGATAGCTCTTTCTCAGTTTAAAGGTTATGTAGATCTATTTATATCAACTATAAAATTCAGAAATAAGCTTCATAATTGCAAGGATGGTATCAAACTATTTAAATAATGTGGAGTGTACATCCTTTGAAATGATTACTCATCTTCTTTCATGCACACAAAAATTCATTAGTAACTTTTCAAGAAGCTTTTTGGGCTATACCCAGATTTTTCAGGGGTGCCTGTAGCTTTGAGATCTCAGGTTGTGTACCTATGTAATAAATCAGTAAGCAACTGTGAAGGTGATAGAGGTAGCAAAAGCAATTGATAGGATAGAATGCTAGTTCCTATTTTTTTCCAGTAAAAATATATACTGTAATGTATTTATAATACAATGAAAATTACAATATACATTTACAAAAAACTAACCTTGTTTTCTAATTTTACTAATAAGATTTTTAGTAAAATAATCTTACTGCTGTTCTCTGTAATCTACTCGCAACCACTTCAATACATGTATGAGAAAGAGAGCAATCTAGAAATTCTGAGCTTCAGACCTTCTGGGTAGAGCAAAAATTGACTCCCCCCCCCTTTGTTTTCTAGACAGCGTATGCAATCCCCATCTTGGCATTTGCCTTTGTTTGCCATCCAGAAGTGCTTCCTATTTACACCGAGCTGCGTAGGTAAGAAAACTTGACAGCATCAGTGGAAAGGTTCTGAATTTTCTGAAAGAATGTATGGAATGGAAACCAACAGAAGGACAATGTGCAAAATAATTTGAACTTTATGGAGAGAAAAAAATGCTAAAAAATTGATTCACTTAGTGATGTCCTCAGTGAAAATGGGAATGGCAATGCTGGATGAGGAAGAAACAGACACAGTTAGTGGCACTATACACAGAGGGGCACATAATTCCTAGTTCTCCAGTGTTATACCTTCCAGATTTGTGAGCTACCATGCCCGTTATCCCTAATCAGTTCTGTTAGGGATTATGGGAATGATTGGTACAGCAGATGTGAGGGTAATACATTGGAAAAGGCTCAAATGAAATACTTTTCTTTGGGACTTTTTCAATTACATAGGGAGGGAGGGGCGAAATAGAAAGATAAAATGGAAGAAACATAGGAGAGCAAAAACCACCTTCTGAAGCTTGGGAAGTTATTGGGGGGGGGACGCTAGGACTTTTGCACCCAGAGCTTGACATCATCATAGCATGCCCCACCTATCTGTTTCAATCATTTGATGGGTGATCGTGTCTTGGAGGAGGAAGTGTCATGATTCTCTGAGAAAGATAGTTCCGATCCCTGACTGATTGTGTTCAGAGACTAGCAGTTGACCACACAAAAGGACATTTGTCAGGATGTAAAGTTTTTGTATAACATCTACCAAAAAGTCTCTTACATTAAAAAAAAATAATTAAAAGTACAGTGGTCTTTGTCAGGTAAGCAGCAGCTTCATGCCTCACGTGTAGTTTGTTGCTGAGAGATGCAGCAGGACCTGAAAAATGAAGAGTTGTAGCCAGATGGACCAAGCTCAAGATTGTGTAATGCAGATCAGAAACAGGCAAGCACAGTATGCACTGGTGATAGAAAGGGTAATACAATGGAGGCTATTCCCCTGCTCTTTCAGGGTAAATGTACATAACCTTAGTGCTATCAGTCCAAAGACAATTAGTTCATTTTCCCTGCTTTTTGGATTTTTTTTATACATGGGGGGCGGGGAGGAGAAAGCATGGCAAAGCTTAGATGGGCAGTAGCGATTGAACACTGTCATTTGGACCTTCCTTTCCTCCCTGGCTGAATTCTGAGATCAAGCAGAGGGATTGTTGATGGGACTGTGGATTGTGTATCATGTTCACTGAAACACTGATGTGAAGCAATTATAGCAGGCAGTTTGAACAACCAAACATCACAGAGGAGAAGGTGAAGGACTTGCTTACAAGACGCTGAAGACGCATTGTTTCCTACAGAAAATAAAGCCTCTGTCGAACTACCTCTTGATTTTGAAACAGTAATCCGGATTTCTGAATATGGATATAGTGCCAGGTTGAATGCAGGTTCTGGGGTTGTGGAATGGAGTAAAAACATGTAGCATGGCCCTTTAGGTTCCCACGAGGCCTTTGTTTGGAAGGAGGCCCTCATGAGACTCAATAGGTTTCAGCAGCAAGGATAAGAAGGCCAAACTCCTGATCTGGATTACCAACTCACTCATTCACTCTGTGAAGGAATTGGAGACCTAATTAAGTTTTAATGAGGTCTGAAATTTGTGTCTTGCTTAGGGCTTCAAAGCGTCGAATGCAGACAGTAGCCAATATCTCCATCCTGGCCATGTTTTCCATGTATCTGCTGACAGCTATCTTTGGTTACCTCACCTTTTATGGTAAGGGACAGTTCCTCTCAGGAAGTACTATTGGGGGTGCCACTTAATTCTCTTTCATACACAGGAAAGGAAGAATTTCCCTCTCTGCCTCACCTCCATGGCTACAAGAGGTATGATGCTTACTTTGTTCCTTTGTTACATGTTGTCTTTGTAGCCCTTCCTTTTATACATGCAGAGGACAGACTGGAAATAATAGAGGCAAAGCATAAGCATAAAGCAATAATATATAGCTAATATCTCCTCCGATTAAAACATATAATAAAACAGAGAGAATTTCCTAAATTTTCCATGGAAATCGAAGGAAGGAAAAATGATTTGCTACCTATACGCTTCACCTTTAAGAAGCAAAAATGTCGTAAATAGATCTTCTCCTCTCACCAGGGATGGGAGATATTTCTTAGCTGGCTTCACAGAGCTCTTTCTCATCCCACTTGAGAGAAGAAATGAACTCTCATTTGCATTGGTTGAATCGGGTATTTCAAAACAGCTACGTCTAATGCCAACTTTAAGACTTGTGGACTTCAACTCCCAAAGTTCCCCAGCCAGCTTCTTGGAGTTGAAGTCCACAAATCTTAAAGTTGTCAAGGTTGGAGACGCATGGTCTAATGGACTACACTTCCCTTCCCCAATAGGAACATATTTGGAAAGGAGAGGAACATTTCAGAAGTCTGTTTTCATAAGTAACACCTCTGTAAATGCTTCTTTTTATATTGGATACGCAAAATGTTTTCATATGTTATGCTTCCTCTATTGGCATCTTCTTTTTCTGTGCAAAAGCTGAAATAAAAGGAGTACATATGTCACAGGTTTTTTTTTTAACATGCAGGCAATAGGATAAAAATACCCTGTAGGAATGTGTATATATCATAACTGTCAGATCCAATGGCAACGTGACCTGCTTCCAGCCTGTTTGCAAGACATTTCTTGTTCTGTTTTTTTCCCCATGCAGTTCCATCTTTGGACTAAAGGCAGCACACAGGCTGAATTTTTTTCTTGAGGATGTTTCTAGTTGAACCTTTCCTCATTTTACCAATGAAAAATATATGGTCCTTTTAAAGGAGGACAAGAAAGATACTGCAGATCACTCACATCTATACAGTATCTCGCAGACTTTGCGGTGGGATGTTCATGAGCGTTTAATAAAGTGTCTGGTGTCTGTCATTCTCCAACTAAAAATACACACTTCTGAACCTTGTGTAACAAGAGCAGTAGTTGCGTTTTTAAAGCTTGTATCAAGAAAATTTACATTTAAAACACTTTGCCTCTGGGGACTTAATATAGCAAATTCAAATGTTTAAAATTTGGATTTTAAATACATTTTTAAGCATAAATGAAGAACAAGTAGGGGGAAGCCCATATGCAACTACCATATATTAAGGCAATTGAAATTCTAAACCATTTATACATTTTATCAATATGTCTTTTTAATACAGTGGAACCCCTGAAATGGGCCAAGCTTGCATTGATTTGCAGAGGGTAGCAACTATATGATCTTGGTAAGAAATAGAAGATCAGAGAAAGGCAGAATATACAAGAGCTACAGCGGAAGTTGTGTTTGTCTGCAACTCTTATAAAGATCCCATGATTCCAGAGCCTCGTCTGGAAGTGCTAGTGTTCAAAAATATTCCTCTAAATACCAGAGTTATATATAAAAATTACAGGAGAATTAAAGACCTGGGAATTTTGTTCTTTTTTTTTTTCAAAAATTCTTACAGCAGAAGAGGAGTGGTCTTTTAGTGGTCAAGGGTCAGAAGTAATATTGAGGCTGGGGCAGAGGGCCACAAAGGGATTGGGGTTTCATCTCGTATATCAGCAAGATTCGGTTTGGAGAGTTTCTTTGCTTATTTGTTCAGCTGTCATTACATGCTTCAGGGTTTGCATGACAATTTTATTCTATTTCTCATCTCAAAAGAATGGGGGAATGTGCTATCAACTTTCAGTAGCCTGACCCAAAGGGGATTTCGTAGACACCCCTCCAAAAGAAATTAAGATAAGATAACCTTTACTGTTATTTTTTTTTTACTGTGGGCACAACGGCACACATCAAACATGAAATTTAGTTGCCCGCTCTCAAAGTGAAACACATACATGACACACATCTAAACATACTATATACAACATATGCATAGACACACAGCCCTACATATACATAACAAATAAATATTAAATGCTGCCCATCTTGAATATATAACGGAAGGAGGAAGCTTGAGAGTTCACAAGGTTAATGCTGTATGGAATGAAACTCTGGCTGAATCTGGATGTTCTGCTACAGATACCACGAAGCCTCCTCCTCCCAGAAGGTAACAAGGAAAACATCTCATGAAGAGGATAGGGAACACCGGTTGCTCTGAGGCCACAAGTTTTCCACTCCTATTCTGTAGCCTCCTTCTTTCTGATATCTAAATGCCTCCCTTCTGGTTTTTTTTCCCCAGGGAATGTTGAAGCAGAGATGTTGCACACCTACATCAGAGTTGACCCTCTAGACAAGCTTATCCTTAGTGTGCGATTGGCTGTACTCCTAGCTGTGACACTCACTGTGCCAGTGGTTCTGTTCCCGGTAAGATCTTTCTCTCCCATTGTGGCTTATATTAGTTTTACCGCCACTACTTCTTAATCCTAGGCCAGGGAGCTCTGTGTGATCTCTCTCTCTCTCTTTTCTGCTCTTCATCCTTACCAATGTCAGATTTGGAGTTGGCAAGTTTAAGTCATTAGTAATGGGAATAGGTTCATAGAAAAGATTTGGTCTGTACCTTTACATTAAATTTTACCGGGCCTAAATTTGTGGGACACAAGACTTATAAATATTCTTACCATGTTTTCTCCTGCTTTCATTTCCCATCCTATTTCTGCGTTGTAAGCTCATTGTAATCAAGGACCTTTCCTCTTACTCTTTGTAAATAGCCAAAAGGCTGATGATAAAAAGCAAACAACTATTTTAGTTTATTAGAATGATGCAAGCAACTTCATGTAGTTTATTTTCGTAACAATAGCTCTGAAAAATAGGCTAACTTGTTACTTGCAATAAGAAATGTGAACGGAGACGAAGTAATGAAACTTTACCAGTTCAAATTAACTGCTTCCTCTGAAGTGCCATAAGTTTAGGAAAGGGGTTGACCAAGAATGTTTTCAGATAACAAACCACACCACCAACTAGTGGTGATTTGTGGTCCAGCCTAGAAAATTGATAGTGATAGTTCTTGCTTAGTGACCGCCTCATACAATAACAGTTTGCAGTTACAACAGAATGAAAAAGTAACTTTGTGATAAAACCTCACTTTTATGACCTTCTCAGGTCTGTAAAACAAAGGAAAGCTAAAGTAAAATCATAAGCATAGTTGCAGTTTCATTTAGTGACCACTTCGTGTAATGACTGATTTGCCCATCCCAATGATGGTCACAAAATGAGGACTACCTGTAATTGAGTAAATTATGATTCAATTAATGGGTAAAGGATGTTGTGTGAACTGAATAGTATGCTTCATTCTCCATCTAGACAGTTGCTTATGTGCCTTGAGGTAAAGCAGGTATCTCTCTACTTAAATATCTTTGCTAAAGTCACCCTGTACTCCTAGATCCGCAGAGCCATTCAGCATTTGCTGTTCCCCAAGAAGGATTTCAGTTGGATCCGTCATGTCATCATTGCTTTCTGCCTGCTTTTCATTGTCAACCTCCTTGTCATTTTTGTGCCAAACATCAAGGATATCTTTGGAGTCATTGGTAAGCGTGGGTCATTTTTCTACCTATGTGAGATTGAACTGTAGCAGAGAATTTAGTGTCAATGCTGTGTTGGGGTTTTTTCATGGGCTGAAAGAACAGAAATCTCAGCAACCCACTTCTAGGAACATGTAGCCTCTTCATTCTTCACTAGCATGATACATGTAATAGTTGAGTTCACACATTGCATTAATTTGAACTATGGTTTGTTTAAAAGAATATATTGGAAAGCTTGCTTGCATTGAATATAGAAGTTTTTGCCTAGCATTAAATGACAGCGAAGACAATAATGAGGTGAAACAGAAAAGTTTGTGTCAAGAGTTATAAACAATACAGTCGGTTCATATTATACTCTTTCTTGCTACAATATCTCAGTTTCAAATTTTGCTTCCCCCATCTCAGAAATTTTGCCCCATTCCAGGATTTTGAAAGCATGTTTGCTAAGATAAGTACAGATCTGGAAAACGGAGGGTAGAAAGAAGCTGGTAAGGTGATGTTGAGTAGAAAAACAGGTCGCAGGAAATGAGTTCAGGATTACTCCCATGCCTCTTCCTCTTTTCTTCTCAGCCCATTCCCTAGAGACTTCTTTTCTTTATAGTCATGCACAGTAAGAAAATTTCTGAAGAATGGACTTACCACTTGGAGTAGATGTGCAGAATTCAGAAACAGGGAAACAAGCATTGCCATCTGCAGATTAATACATGTTCAGCACTACAGCTACATGAGATGCCTGATTTTGGCAATTTTGTTCCCATGTGCATCTGCTTAGCAAATAAGCCAGCATTTCTGCCCACTGGAGTTGTATAATTGCCCTGGATAGCACAATGGGTCAGCATATAAATTTAATATATAAATAAATGATATTTTCATATCCATTAGACAATCTCCTCCTGGGAGTAGAGAACTTCCATTTGGAAGTGAAAGTTAATTGTGGGTAAATTGTATACAGGTAGTTCTCGACTTACGACCACAAAGGATGATAGTTGTTGAGTGATTTGTGCCAGATTCTATGACCTTTTTGCAATGGTTGTTAAGCAAATTACTACAGTTGTTAAGTGAATCACACGGTCGCTAAGTGAATCTGGTTGACCCCATTGACTTTGCTTGTTGGAAGCTGGGAAGATAATAAATGACAATTCATGTGACCCTAGGATGCTGCATTTTCAGTAGAGTTGTGACTTTGAACAACTGCTGAAAAAATGGTTGTAAGTCGATGACTATATGTATATGTTGACCAAAGCTGCTCAGATGTAATTACGGTATTTTAAAACATAGTTCAGAGTATCTTGACACAGTCCAAAACAAAAAGTGACCAAATAGGTAAATGAATCTGAAGACTTAGTGCCACTGCCTTGGAAGGCATCTTGGCTCCTCCCAGCTTGTCCTCCCAATATAGAAAACAGGGTTATGGAGTTGACAGCCTTTGCCTCCAGAGGAGATTCAGCTTTTAAAAATAACTATGGGCTGGAGAAATCTGTCTCATTTCATTTTATGGTTCTGAGCTATAACGTTTCACCAAAAAAAGTATTAGGATCAGATGGACCCAAATGCATGCTGATTATAGGTAGGTATGAAAACACTACAACAGGTGTGAAAAGATACTATCCTACTTTACAGGCAGCTTACCAAATCCATCCATTGGTTTTTTTAAAGCCAGTATTATTTATAATGTCTGGATTCATGCATCATGCCAAACCCAAACTAACCCTACACAGTGGCTTAGTGAAATGCCTGAATCTAGTTATAGTGGTTTTTAAACAATGGCTCCAGAGCCTTTTAAGCTCCACTGATGTTTTTCAGTTGTATGTTATTTTTAGGCAGCAAAAATTGTAGTATATGTGTAAAATATACTTAACACTTAAAAACAATTCTACAAATTCTTTGCTCAGTCTGGAAAAAAAAGAATTGAAAATCTGTACAATACTATATTCCAAAGGTGCTTTTTCAGGAGGCAACTGGACTTTTTTGTTTTTCTTTGGAGATGTTTCACTTCTCATCCAAGAAAGATCTTCAGAGAAAAACAAGAAAGTCCAGTTGCCTCCTGAAAAAGCACCATTGGGACAACCATGACCTGGATGATTGAGAATCTCCATAGACATGTACAATACTATCATCCACTGTGGACAGCAGCCTTATGCTTCCTCATTAAGTCCCCTTCTTCTTGATGTATGGTACAGTGCTGAAAAAAGAGATTGAATACTGATTTATGGTATAGCATTATTATATGTAGTATTAGAGGTACAGTGTTGCAGTTGTCCATTATGGCTATTTTATAAACCATAATTTGAACAGCATTTCTCCAGGACTTCATACAAACCAGAGTTTGTCAGTATTATCTGGAATACAATGAATCTGATACATCTGCATGCAAAACATGCCCTTTGCCTCTCTGATGTTACCTCTTCCTTAAAAAAGATAACTTTCTATGTATTTATTTATTACATTTCTATCCTGCCATTCATTTAGGAGCTCAGCTCATTGTACATAGTACCCAGTATTCTCTCTTAGTTTTCTCCATAACAACAAACCTGTGAGATAGGTTGGGTTGACAGAGCTTGTAATTGGCCTAAAATGACTGAGGGTGGACTTGAACTGAGGCCTCCTTGGTTATAGTCTAACATTTAAACCATCACACTACATGGGTTCACTACACAAGCTGTTTTTAGCTCAATGTTTAGGACAGCTGTTCATCCAAGAAGATGTTCTGATATCTGCAGCTACACCTCGGCCGGCGCAGGGGGTGGAACCACGCATGCGCGGCGCTCCCGGGCAGGGAAAGTCTTCGACTTACAACCGGTTGGGTAGTCCTTGACTTACGACTGGTTTAGTCCTCGACTTACGACCAGTTTAGTCCTTGACTTACGACCGGTTGGGGTCGCGGCATTAAAAAGGTTGAGAACCACTGATCTAACAGAATATATAGAAGTAAAATAAGAATTCATTCAGACCACAAGATGGCACTGATCTGCTACCCACAAGACGTATCTCGCTTTTAAGAGATCAGTAGGGCAGAATCCCTGAATGTTTGGTTCAAACTGATAGAAAAAAACTATGCCATTAATCTGTGCACACATAAAACAATGATTGAGCATTGTGTAGTTCTAACTAGGCAAGTATTTTATTTCTAGCCAAGAAATAGATCTGTGTATCAGATTTTTCCATTTCTTATTCAATTTATTCGATTTACAATTCAATTCCATTTCAATTTATTTTATTTTTATTTTCTGAAAATTCCAAGAAGAATGATTTCTTCTTTCTCCTCTCCATTAGGGATCATTGTTTCTTGGCTGAATTCCTTGCCCCAGGGAACTGCCTGCAGTCTCCCAAAACAACAAACCCAAGTTCTCCTAGAGAAAGAGGGAAAGGGGAAAATTTGCTTTTGCATAGTGCCAAAGCCCATAACTATGGAAAGACATGTATTGGACGTATCTGAGCCAATCCAGTATTAGGGCTAGGAGGGGAGCTGTCGCATTGTGAATGCTGGATGGCCGTTCACAACATCTGTGTATTTTTCCCAGGAGCCACATCAGCCCCCAGTCTCATCTTCATCCTTCCTAGCATTTTCTACATCCGAATTATCCCCAATGAAAAAGAACCACTACGATCAAGACCCAAAATCCAGGTATTGGCTATTGGCAAGCAGATTGGGAGGGGGGTTGCACAACATGGGAGTTATACTAGACAATTGGACAATTCCATGAAGTCTTAGTGCAGGGGTGTCAAACTGCCGGCCCGTAGGCCGGTTGCATCATGTGGAGGCCACGCCCACCCCAGCTCCAGCAATGCAAAAAAAGGCGCGACACGTCATGTCATGTGACGCGGCAAGTTTGACACCTGTGGTTTAGTGCAAGAGGCCAGCAGGTTGGAGCTTATTCAAGAATGTGGGTTTTTGTCCATGCTCCTTTGATTTTCTCAATCTTTAATCAGTGCAACTAGATGAGGTGGTAGTTTTGCACCCATGAATTAGCATGTTTGTGGAGAGGCACTTTGGAAGCTAAGGCTGTTGAAACCTAGGTGATTGGGAAATTGCTGAATAGAGGGGATAAGGAATGTTTTCTTAGAAATTTTGTTTGGGTTGCCGGGGGCTGTGGGGTCCTCTTGTTCCCTCCTGAAAATTCTTTGAAAAAAGAAAAGATGATTACCGGTTTGAGGAATTGTGATTCATGAATTTCTTTCTCCTTCCACAGGCTGCGTGTTTTGCTGTCCTTGGTTTTATTTTCATGGTGATGAGCCTCACTTTTATCATCGTCGACTGGGTAACCACAGGAAAGAGCTCTGGAGTGAGTCACTAGCAAAGCCCACTCCTGACCCCAAGAGACCAGATGGTTCTAACCAGGGAGACCATTCAGTGCCAGAGAAACAGTGGTGCCTTTTGCTGTTTATCTTCACTCATCCTGGAGACACCATAATTACCTGTCCATCACTTTGGAGAAGTGTTGGAAGGCATCCCTTTGGTGCTGTGGCAACGCAAAGTAATTTGGAACAGCTCCGGGGCTTCGTTAACAGCCGATCTAAGATGTAGGCCTCCAAAACAGAGCCTCTGAGTAAGCTCCCTTCATTTGCTGGCTCCTATGGTAGCAGCATTATTTTCCTGGCCTTCGTTTTTTTCTCCCTGGCGATATTGTGCCATCACCAACAATTGCATGTCTCGGGAAAAGCACGTGGGGTTTGGTTTGGGTTTATCTTTGCCCAGGATTAACGTGCTGCCTCTCAACAAGGCTTAGTTTGGCTTTTTTTCCATTCTCCTCTTCCTCCTTCCCCTCCACTGTTATGGAAGGAATTTCAGGCTGGTTTTTTTATCATTTGTCATTGTACCAAATGGTGCCTTGATGTCTCAAAAATTATGACTCCTTATCCTTTGCTATCCAACATGGGGGGGAGGGGGGCTGGTTGCTATAGAGGCATGGTGTCTGATATCACTCAGTCTCCTGCCTGATATAACTTAAGACCGCAGCAATGATACCAACTGACAGCAGAAGAAATGCCATGCCTGGATGGGTGTGATCAAAGCAATGGACAATCTAATTTATTAGCTCTTATTTAATTTCGACCTGGCTACCAGACCAAAGAGTATAAATAACATAGCCATCCTAATGCCTATTTAATCCATGCCATGATTCCAGGTTTTTCTGACATAGATGAGGTCTGGGAATCGGAGGGAGGAAGGAGAACTAGGGACCCTGGAATTCTGGAAATCTTCTCCCATCTAAGGAGGCAGAGCAGAATGGATCACGTAGGTACAGCAGGAGATTCAAGGGCTCCCTGCTAGTGGGAGGGGAATGCAATTCCCTCAAATTGTGGGAGAATGTTGTTTGCTGTCTCCTGTCTCTGAATGATGCTAGTTTTTTTTTCTGAGGCTATCCAGAAAAGTAAATTCTACATACACTACAACACCACCTGGTGATTTCCCTTTGGTGCATGTCCCTGGGCCCCAGGGATTAAATTTCTAAGTGCTGCATCTGAGTTTAGGATTCCATCACTTCCTATTTGAAAGTTCTGAAGTAACGGAATCTGCTCTTATGGCTGAGTTAATTTCAAGTGGTGCTGATATGCAAAACGATAAGAGCCTTGACTGACAGTTGTTGCAAACACACTAGGAAAAAAATACAGATAGTCCTCAACTTATGACCACAACTGAGCCCAAAAGTTATGTTGCTAAGTGAGAAATGTGTTTAAGTGACTTTTGTCCTATTTTACGACCTTTCTTGCCATGGTTGTTAAGTGAATCACTGCAGTTGTCAAATTAGTAACACAGTTGTTAAGTGAATCTGGTTTCCCCATTGACTTTGCTTGTCAGAAAGTTTCAAAAGGTGATCCCATGACCCCGGGACACTGCAACCTTCATAAATGTTAGTTGTCGAGCGTCCGAATGTTAATCACGTGAGCATGGGGATGCTGCAACGGTCATAAGTGTGAAAAATGGTCATAAATCACTTTTTTCAGTACTGCTGTAACTTCAAACGGTCACTAAGCAGACTGTTGTAAGTTGAGGACCACCTGTACTAACATAGACTATATTTGCACAACACACTTAACCAGGCCAATTACAAATCTAACAGCTGAATTTGCATAAAATGCTACACATGGCTAACTTTTTGTGATTTTAGTATGTTGAGTAAACCCACCTAATTAGTTTAGGGCTCAGTATATATGGAAAAATGAATTAATTGAGAAAATAAATTAATTCAGTGACCAGTGTGATACAAGCCACCAAGGCATTCCTAGATATTTTTTCCCTTTGGAACTGACAACACCAGATTTATTTTTTCCCAGCATCCTTACAATGACGTCTTAAATCTTTGTCTTCCAGTATTTCCCCTATGTAATTACTGCCTTTTTCAATTCAGAGATACTGAAGTGGAAGTTAGAGGACAATGGTAGATCAGTTTGGCTAATCATGGATCGCCTTTCACCTGCCCAAACAGGTGTAGTTTTATTATGTGCAACGAAACTATTAAGGAATTTAACAAGTCAGAATAAATCTGTATACATATCTTTCCTGTCATCTTCATGGTCACTGACATTAATCTTTTAAATTGCACTTTTCAGAATTTTTAAAAATATTCCCTCTCCCTCTCCTTCCCACCACAATAGCACTTACATGTAAAGATAGTTTAAGAAAACTAAATACTGCTATTCCAGCAGAACATGCCACTTTATTTTTGTATTTTGAGACGCTTATATGTAATTCACCTTCTTGTGTCATTGTTAAAAGGTGTCATAGTCAAAACTTGGGAAAGGGTTAAAAAAGCTTTTAAGTTGAAAGTTGATACTTTCATGTGAATCCTTAGTCCTATAATTCTGAAGATTAAACATCCCCTGAATTATGGACCTTTCACTGCAATTTTACATGTCCCTTGACAGTGAATGGGTGGGAACTAAATTTTTTGGTAGGAAAACTGTAAGTCTAGCCTGACAAAGACAACCTCTGTTCTATTGTTCATCTTTTTTTTAAAATTTCTAGTTATTTGGCATCTTTCTGCCATTTGTTCCCCCTCTATTTAGCTTTTCCTTATACAGAAATGTCAGAAATTATTCTTTATTTTAGGTGTACATTTCATCAAGCATTGGTAATACTTCTTGTAGCAATGCCCGATTGTGCTAATTGCTTGCTCACACTTAAAGGTTATCTTTTTAAATGCACTTATATGACATCTCTGATAAAACCATCTAATGATGGTTAGATCTAAGAGAGCTTGCTTCTCTGTCAGAGCTCTAAGGAATTGTCCTCTTTTTATAGAAATTCTCTTGTAATCTGAACCTTTGGCTAGGGTCATAGTGTCCGAATCAGGAAACAAATTTGATCTATCATCTGCACAAGACCCTTAATCTTGATTCTGTCATACCACAAATACCTCAGTGTGATTTTGAAAATGAAAGAGGATGGAAGGGTTCTTTTACCACCCTATCTCTAGTTTATGTAATAAATTCTGCGTTATGTACATTTATTCTTCAATATTTTTTTAGCTTCTATTTGTTGCTTGTTTATCTATACTTAAAGAATTGTTAGGGATTCAGTTTTTTTTTCATTGAGAAGGTGAGATTATGGAGGACTTAATTGAATATTAGTTCCTTTAGATAATATTTATGCATTTTCCTCCAAACAACATAAATCACACCTCATAGTTTTTCTTTGCCGATTGCCATACACTAAATAAATAAATCTGTGGATTAATCTACCTAATTTGAAAAGGAAGTACCCTTAGAAATACTGCAGTGTGGTACATATTGTCCAGAACAATATTCATTATTTGCGCTGCAACATACTTAGACAGTACACAGAGTACTCTGCCTTTTAAGAGTTGACAAATGGAAAACTTAGATTAAATTGGAAGTGGCTTGTATTTTTTACAAAAGATGCATATGCTCAGCACTGTTCCAAGGTAGTAAGCCTCTTAAAGTGCTTTCCCTCCACATCCCCATCTGTAAAGTGTACATAAGTTAACTTCAAACCATTTACAGCCTGTAAAAGAGATCTAATCATTGGAAATCCTGCTGGTACATTATAATAATTATCCAAAGAATTTCAGCAATATTATTTTATTTTATGGGTCATTCCAGAGGGAATACCTCTAGCCTTTTCCTTCCAAAATAATCTGTTGCATCATTCATCTTGTCTTGTTAGAATTGGAAATTGTCATAATAAGACTTTGTTTAGATCGTACTTTCTAAAATATGCAAATCTTATGATCATGATCAGAGTACTCTGTTTATGTAATTTGTATGGTGTATTACAAAGTAAGCCCCATGTTTGCTATCTTTATCTTCTGCCACATATCTGGTAATATACATTGAACTTTGAAATTCTAAACAGATTCGTTACATGGAGTGGTATTCAATTAATCCTTCCCAATTGTGGAACAAATTTCATCCTTAGAACCAGCACAATGTCACAGGGGAAAGGAGGGTCGAAGAATTCTGAAGTGGAAGGTGATTTGCACAGCATAGGATGCAGAAACACTCAAATTGAAGTTTTGCATAAAGGAGGACAACGTCCTTTGCTGAATCTGATTGTCCTATTGCTGCTCATAGTTTATCAGATTCTGAGAAGGAGCAACTTCATACAACATAATTGACCTGTGCTTCTTCAAAACCAATGCCACTGACTGTCATGCTGCTCCTATTTAACGGGTAAATGCCTGAGCCTTTTGCTCTTCTTGGCTGACTAACTTTGAATTCACAAGCTGACTATAAGGTGGTCAGATGCAAAACAGGTCCTAATAGCATGTAAAAGAGAAATTCGCTAGAAAAGGATTGTTGCTGACTCTCCCTCTTCAGTGCAGCTATTGAGATGCAGGAATCTCAACCTTTCTTGCAGCTAGCTGCCTGCACTAGATGCATGCTTGTAAGCATCTGAGGAGAAACTGAGGTTGTGTCCCCACTAATGACTTGAAGTATGCTTATAGCAACACCAAACTACAGTGAGGCAGGGCCTGTTAGGCAACAATAATGGTTGGATGATGCTACAGTGGGAGAATGGTGGCTTAGCAACTGCAGCCTTTTCCTCCTAGCCCAACTGTAATTCAAAATATTGGGAATGCAAGGTGAAGCATCTAGTTAGCAGCATTCACATTTGAGCCCCTGGCTTGGAAACCTGATACCTTTGGCTCTCTACTGACCCATGGAAATCCACACCTTAATTTCTTATCCAAATGAAATAAATATGTACCTCACTGCAACACTTCTACCCCACTAGGATCTGGATGGCCTCAGCTTTTTTTACTTCTTTGTTTTTTTCATTAAATGGGGCTGGCTTTCTGCTTGGGGTAGTAATGGGATCCAGATTTTAAGGGAGGAGGGAACACATTCAAAATGTGAACTTGATGTAAGGACACAGTATTTGTATAATTTTGGTATTCAATAAAGAACTGTTGACCTTGTACTATGTATTCAATTTGTTTTTATTATATAGAATAAACTCCTTTACCCGACTTGGACATGATGGTTTTATATGCGCCCATATGCTCATTTATGTGTGAAAACATATTCCTTTCTATTGAGATACCTGCTATAAGTAATCCTTGTTTAGCAACCATAATGGGACCAGCAACTCAATTCTTAAGCAAAATGGTCGTTTGTGAAATCACAGTTCTGCTTATGATCTTCTTTCAGTTTTCCTTTGCTTCACAGACCTGGAAATGTCATAAATGCGAGGATTGGTTGCTTTTTCATCATCATCATAGCTGTGAATGATTGTTAAATGAGGCAGTCACTAAATGAGGAATATCTGTATAGAAATGTTTAAAAAAGAAGGGGAGACTCAGATTCAGTTGTATCTTCTCGATTTTGTGTTCTTTACATATTCTGCATCACTGTCCAGTTGAGCACAGGTCTCATTTCTTATAGTCTTGGTGAAATATTTAAGAACTGTTTCACCTGCACCCCACTATACTGTTCCGTTTCATATATAATTTAATGAGATGGATGGTGCCTAAGTTTAATAAATATATAAAATCTTACTGATACTTTCCTTTTGGTTTGTTGTGATTAACAACAAAGCCATCTTTGGCGCCATTAATTATTTAGTTTGACAAGTCTCCTTTTGTTAGTTGTGACATCACTCAGGGCATTTTGTGTCACTAGGATTGTTGCTATTTTAGAGAACAGAAAGAAAGGAGTCCTGAGACCAAATAATTTTTCCAGAAATTATTTCTTGATTTTATCTTTGTAACCGTATTTCTGTCCTACTTTACCTGATGTCCTTGCTTGGAGATTTGCTACATTGGCATATGATTTTTAAACTAAAAATTCAATCCTAATGTTGTGAGGTCCCCAGACAGGTTCCACCAAGCTCTCCTGAAAGATTTATCTTCATCTTCCCTACAATATACAAAACATCCAATTCCTGAGAAAGTCTGGAATCATTCTACTAGATCTGTGGACAGTTATGTGCCCACCTCTTTTCATTCCTGCCTCTTTTTCTTGCTGATCAGGGGTCCCCAACCTCCAGGCTACGCAAATGGGAACTGGGCCACCTAAGTGGCAGGTGAGCGAGAGAAGCTTCATCTGCACATGCATGGAATCTAGATTACAAGGGAATATAATCCTTCCATTCTCCCATCCCCTCCCCCACCATCCAGTCAGGACTGAAGAAGCTTCTTGGATGAGAAGCGAAATGTCTCCCTCAACGAAAAAACATAATCCAGTTGCTTTTTTGAAAAAGCACCTTTGAAACGCTGATGTTCATTGATGATGATGAGATTGCATGATACATAGCACCAACTTCTAGCATCATCTTTATGTGCAGATGGATTCCAAGAAGCATTGTTAAAAAAAAAATTGTTTGGAAGCATGTCCGCTTGGCTAGAAACGACGAGAAAGGAAATGTAGTGATACCAGAAGTCTTGGTTCTGAAGCTTCTACAAAGAGTAGGGAAGCATTCTCATTTCGCAACTGCCAATATTCTGTTATATGAGGGTGTGCCGGTTAATAAATCAAGACAATTAATAAATAAATGAGGTTTCTTCTTTCATACACCTTGCAATCAACCATTTAATCAACCATGCATGTACTCTTCCTTTCCATGCATTTTATCTCTCTCAACCACAAAATAAGCTCCCCTATGATCATTAGACATTGAGAAGTGGAGTTCCAGCAGTGTCTGCCCCTGAGAGCAATCTTCTCTTAAATTCAAATAAATATTGAGAAATCATAGGGATGTATTTCACAAAATATATGTTTATACTTTTCTGGACAGTTTTATGACCTCACCCACTCCCCATCCCCCAAAGTATGAGGAACTGAATATGATTTCATAATTCTTTCGCTAACGTTACTATGCGGTCACATTGGTCTAGTGGTGAAGACACCCGGCTAAAAACTAGGAGACTGAGTTCTAGTCCTGCTTTAGGCATGAAAGTTAGCTGGATGACTTTGGGCCAGTCTCATGCAGTCCAACCTACCTCACAGGATTGTTGTTGTTGTGGGGAAAATAGGAAAGAGTACTGGGTATGTTTGCCACCTTCAGAGATTTATAAAAATAGTAAGGGTGGGATATAAATAAATAATATATATTAAAATAGTTTTGTAAGAAAACAATCTTTTATCTTATTTTTTTTTAATGGAAAGTACAATACAATAAAAACACAAATTAAGAAGAAAAGGGAAAAAAATCTGTCTTACATGTTTTACTTAGCAATAGTTACTGGTTTACCAGTGAATTCTCTACTATAATATGAACAAGATATTATAAGATATCACAGAATATCTGCTATAAACAACTGCTGCATGCTTTGATTAGTAGAAAATATTACCTTTCCCGAAACACATAGATTATACATTTCTGGCAAAATAATTGGACATAAGCATTCTGTTCTATACAGTATCAGTATTTCTTAAATGGAAAATAATAAGCAAAGCTTAAGAACTGGAAAATACCTTTGATTTCTTTATAGCCATTAATCATCAAATACTGGATTGCACTCCCTGTCATGTAGTTCCCTATGGGTCAGCTTTTTTGTAATACATCTTCCTGGGCATTCCCCCATCTCCTTTTCAATTTTTATACTATGACTCCAGCATTGGAGTGAGAGGCAATGTGTCCAATCAAAAAGACCAGAGGGTGAAGCACTGTCATTTCCATTTCTGTAAAAAAAAAAAAAAAAGTAATTACAGAAATGCCAATTCTCCTTCGCCCCTGATGCAATCGCATGATTGTGACATTAGCCACTGGGGATTCTGGTGTCGGCCTGAGACTTTACAGCTGGTCCTCGACTTACAACAGTTCATTTAGTGACCGTTCAAAGATACAACGGCACTGCAAAAAAAATAATAACTTATGACCATTTTTCACACTTCTGACCGTTGCAGCGTCCCCATGGTCACGCGATCAAAATTCAGGCGCTTGGCAATGACTCATACTTATGACCCCGGGATCATGCGATCCCCTTTTTGCAACCATCTGACAAAGCCAAGTCAATGGGGAAGCCAGGTTCACATAACAACAGTGTTACTAATTTAACAACTGCAGCGATTCACTTAACATCTGTGGCAAGAAAGGTCGTAAAAAGGGGCAAAACTCACTTAACAAATGTTTCACTTAGCAACAGAAATGTTGGGCTCAATTGTCATTGTAAGTCTAGGACTGCCTGTACTAAGGTGCTTTTTTTAAAAAAAGTAAGCCATCATGATCAAACCAATTGGGACCATTGAAAGTCTGAATGCTTTCACTCTCCCTATGTTCCCCCTTGGCAGAAATTTGGTATAATTGACATGCCAGAGAGTTGCATTGGGCAACACACTGCTGATCTTTCAAATAACCTACCCTCCCCCACTACAGAAGACTGGGACCCTTGCAACTCAGCGGTTATAGCATTGAGAAGAGGAAGGCAGCCAGATGTTTTCCATATGTTTTGGAGTACAGCTCCAACCAATCCCTTCATTAAGGATTATTGAGAAGGGAAGTTAAATTTGGAAAGCACCAGTACAGCCTATTCTTGATTGATATCCCCTGTACTTGAAATTATATTGGATGACCTCTTATTCTTTCATCTGGGTCTCAAGCCAGACCCTTAGTTTGGAAAGGCTGTGCTGTGCTCACTGGCAGCCTTGTAATCCCGTCGCCAGTCAGGAGGTTTGTTATTTGGTCTGAATGAGGAGGATGCAGAATGCTTGCTTGTAACATTGTTTTTGAGAAATTGTCTGCACAATCCTACAAGCCATTATCCTGTGTGGCTGATATCTGGGCTTGAGGAACAGAATTTCAATGGTTATATTTATTTCATTGTGAAAGAAATGAATCTGAAAATCCTCTTCTTGAGCTTCAAGCTTAGGTGATGTAAGGCTCTTTATGTGATTGGTTGTTCACTTTCTTTATTTGCTTTTCCTTTTCTATCTTGCTAAGGGCTACCAGATCTTGTCTACAAATATCCAGATAACTATCAGATGTCAGCAAAGATCTAAAACAGAACTTTCCCTCTGCTGCCTTCTGCGAGATGTGCAAATATTTGCAATCTAGACCAGGGGTCCCCAACCCCCGGTCTATGGACTGGCACTGGTCCACAGCATACCAGAAACCAGGCCACGCAAACAAGCAAAGCCCCATCCACCAGATGCAGGCAACACACAAAACCATGCTTCCTCCAGTCCACAGAAAAACCTCTCTAACTGGTCCCTGGTGTCCAAAAAGTTGGGGGCTGCTAATCTAGACCAGAGTGTTTTTTCACCTATTCCAAGGTTGCCAATATGGATTAGCAGCAGTTCTGCAAACTTTGAAACCAAATTTACAGTCTTATTTGGAGGTGGGAGTATTGTAGAACTTCCTGAAAGCAAATTCTTTACTCTATTAAATTCTAATCAGAAAAAAAATCGCAACATGTATATTCCATTTATGGGACAAAAATACTTTTTGCATTCAAAAACTATAGAATTGGTGTCTGAGCAATCTGTACTTTTTAAGGACAGTGTGGGTATTTCTGTGGACCAAATGCTTCTGTTTCTTAGAAGGATGGGCATTTTCAGACTCCTTCACCCACCTAATCTGCTCTGGTTTCTCTTTGTACTTCAGTTTCTCTCAGCCTTCAGGGTTGCCAGGCCTTTGAAGCAAGATAGAGAACTCATCTATCTCTGGATGAGCCTGGTGGTTTGTTAGCTTCCTGTTCAAAGAAGGCTTTACAATACGGAAGTTCGCTTTGTGAGAGCCTTTACAACCTGACAGGGCTGAGATGAGCCGAAGAACCAAACCTGGAGGCCGAGGACAGCAGGAAAATGTGTCTTCTTGCCTCCTTGAGGAACTTGAAAACCAGCAAGTGTTCGATCTTTTGGGCAGAAAATGCACGGTAATTCTTGTTATTATTCAAGGAAGGAAAGTCCACGGCAGAATGTAGAGTATTCCATGAATGGGAGAGAGAGAGAGGAGCTTGTCTCTGGGAAACTGGGTGATTATATGTTGGAATGTCATTGATGAATTAGGATGAAAAATAATTTGGAAGGAAGAGAGCCTACAGCTGAGCCAGTGTCTGATTTTCAGCATGATCTTCCCCCTAGAAAGTTGCTCAATGGATAAATGAGAACGTGCTAGAAAATTAGCAGGATTAGTAGCATCATTAATAATTCGAAGTTGAGAAATATAGAAGAGATTGGATTGGGTTGGCTTAGTGTAGAGAGAGATTTGCCTTATGGCCCCCGTGGCATTTACAGAATTCCAGTAAGTATGTCTCCTAAGAGTCAATTCCTGCTCATTACATATTTTAGTGTATTAATCAGTCTGAACATTTGCTTTATGGTCTCGCAGTCAGTAGAAATAACAATTGACTTGATCGAATTAGCTGACAACACTTTTGATATAGACTGTGGGAACCATTGGGAAATTTTCTCTTTGCTTTTTAAATCTCCCCCAACTTCCATGCAGAAGCAAGTGGGGTTTTTTTTTTTAATGCTGAAAACAACAGCTTGATGTGTTAAGAGACACATGCCGTCTCAAGGCAGGAAGTGGGGACAGAAAACCACTTCCTCAAAAGGCCTAGCTAAAAGCTCTGGCTAGTTAATGACACACTGCCAGTCCTCAGGTGGGGGGGTGAAGTCATAACCCCCCCCGCCCCTTTTCTTGCTGAAAAGAAGCCTAGTTCAAAACAATGGGCCAGACAACAGAAGAGGAACTATCCTTGGTCTTGGATGAAGTTGTCAAATAATATTTCCTTTACTTTGAATTATTTACTACATCAGGCCTCATGACTGCATGACAATATCAGTTTAATTGCTGTAAGGTCCTCGTAATGTATTTTGGGAACTGTAGTTTTGTGGGTATGCTAAGAATTCTCATTTGCCTATTCTGCCAGCTTCATAATTGATCTACCCGAACCGGGTATCAAAACATTAAACAACATTAAGGAATAAATAAACAGCATTATACACACGCACACACATAACCAGGATAAAAAAACCATAGCCAGGAATAAGAACAGTTCAGCTCACATTTTAAATCAAAACAAAATCTTTCTATTAGCTTAGTTTCTGATTCAAAGCATTGTTTCTTTTAGCTTCCAAAATATTCTAAAATATTGTTTGATTCCAAAATATATAAAAAAGTACAACTTGGATCCTAAAATAATGTGTAGCGTTACTTTCTGTCTAAAGTGCTCTGAAAGATGCCTAGTTTAGTTCAGTCTGGCTTATTTCCAGGTATATAAGCTTGCTGCTTAATCCTCATACAGGCGCTTTTGGAGAATGAGGGTGTCTCCAAACATTGCAAAATGGAAAGAATGGGAATTGGGCACTGGAAGAGAAAAGCATTCCTCCAAAACAATATTTCGGATGATTCCACTCACCTCCAGAAACTATTTTTACCATATTCATTCATTCATTCATTCATTCATTCATTCATTCATTCATTCATTCATTCATTCATTCATTCATTCTGTACCCTGCTGTAAGCAAAAAAGGCTCTTAGTGTGTGATGAATTGGATTTTGTATCCAAGTCAACCAGTGCCTCTTATTTTGCCATTGATGTAGAACAATTTTTCTCATCCTTGGCAATTTTAAGATGCGTCAATTTCAACATCCAGCATTCCTCATTCAGCATGCTGGCTAGGGGATTCTCGGAGTTGAAATAGACATATCTTAAAGTTGCCAAGGTTAGGAAATATTGGTACAGAGCAATTATTTTCTGAACTTTTCTAGACTTCTCTATGCATTATTCCCTTGTAATGTATATTGCTGTAGATTTTACAGTTTCTGTGATGTGAAATTCATCACATTTGTGACTGGATAATGCTTTCCCATTTTCCCCATTCCCAGTTATATCTGCTTGAAAAGACCAATTCCCCAGGTGTATGTCATCTTTGATCGAATTGGATGATTAATTTGTAACTTTCCCTCTTCTGATAGACCATGGTCACAACAGTGGCCCAACTCTTTCTGGCTTTGCCTCAGAGCAGCAGAAACTGGTCCAAGCAAAGTTCTGGAGTGCTGTGTTTCGTAAAGGATGTCTCTAAACGTTCTTACTTCATCCGCTTGTATGATCTTAAGGTATCAATGTTTTACTCCATTGTGATACTTCCCTGCATCTCATTCTGACCATAGGTACATATCTATTGTTCATTCATTGAAATGATGTTACCCAACATCTATTTTCTGGATATTTTATTACTAGAATTCTCAACCAGCATATTCTTGTTCAGACAGGAGAAAACTAAAAGCCATGCTTTAATTTGCATTGTTTTCTTGCTATTTTCTGCTAGTACTCAGATTTACACTGAATTAAGTAATAGGGTTTATTAGAAAGTGATTGAAACAATCTGATGTTTCTAAGTCAGGCAACCGAATGCACTTTCCTCTGCCAATCTGCGCAGGAAGCAAAAACAACTTCTTGACAAGCCATCATACTTGGCTGGTGCATTTTATTCAGCTTGCCATTTGACAAATTGTTCTGGGAATGCCCAAATAAAAGAGAACACCTGGTTGAATAACTAATTCTATGTGCTAATGAATGTATATAGGAATGCAGTTAGAAATAATTAGTACAATACAATGCAATGCAATATAATATAATACAATACATCTCTCCATAATAGGGAAGACCGAGATAATCTAATCTATGTCCCTGATGTCTACTATGCCTTCTGGACAATTATTGTCTATGGGGCAAAAATAAAACAACTGCTCCCAGTTCCTTTGACTCATTCTCTTAAGAGATTTGAACCAAACATCCTTTCACAAACATCTTGATCTAGACCTGTGTCTGATTTAAACACACAGTACTACTCTCATATTATCAAATCTTTTGTAAACATATGAAGAACAGCTGCAGGACTTGGGTTTGGCTAGTCTAAAGAAAAGAAGAAATAGAGGTGACATGATAGCAATATTCCAGTATTTGAGGGGCTGCCACAAAAAAGAGGGGGTCAAATTATTCTCCAAAGCACCAGAAGGCAGGACAAGAAATAATGGTTGGAAACTGATCAAAGAGAGAAGCAACCTGGAATTAAGGAGAAACTTCCTAACAGTGAGGACAATTAACCAGTGGAACACCTTGCCCTCAAAAATCATGGGTGCTCCATCACTGGAGATTTTTAAGAGACTAGACAGTCCCTTGTCTGAAATGGTATAGGTTCTCCTGCTTGAGCAGGGAGTTGGACTAGAAGACCTCCATGGTCCCTTCCAGCTCTATTCTATTCTAGATTCAATAAGATCATATCACCGAAATTTTGCAAACCTCAGGGTCTTGCCTGAGAATGCTGAAACCTCATGAATTACAAAGCAATTTTAAATGTTAATTATGAGCATCTCTTTTGGGGAGCAACTTGTGGAGAAAGCCTGGTGAATACTGTAACATCCACAAAAACCATGCATCTGGCTTACTGTTCATATATCAGATGTATTTATTTGTACATCAAAATATGTATTTGGGTAAGGAGATCTGATTCATCCCCATTTCTACATAGTGTTGAAATTGAAAGCATCAAGCACCATTCCCAACAGCATCATTCAGACATCAGAGCTGGGCTGCAAGAACCATTCTTCCAGATGCAGGCCACTAAATGGGGAGACAAAGGAATTGAGTTCTGCTTATCTATTATTTATTCCCCCTCTAAACATCTGAAGGCCAAATAGAATTACCCTCCTTAGGTCTTATTTCACATTCAGAAGTATGGAAATACAGAAACATAATTCTTTGCTTGCAAATTATGCCTGCTTTCACTAACTTCTCACACAAATACATCCAGATTTAAAATATTTGTACTCAGCAGTGGTTATACATAAATGGGAAGTCACCAGGGAATTCCAGAACTGTAGCCTACATGGGATGGGAGAAAAAAAAATCCTAGTGAAAAGACATGACAAACCACTTCCATTCTATTGCTAAAAAAACTTAAAGGTTGAATCCATTTTGGTTGTGACCTGGAGTTTAAATTGACGTGAAGGATACTTCATCTTTTTGACATTGTCTTAAGTGGGGGGAAACAGTCTGTGAATTAATAAGCATCTTTGCCTATTATTTTGTTTTGATGCAGCAGCAGAAGATGACCTGGGAGCAAGAGTTGTACAACCAGATGGTTTATGTTGCTCCCGCAACCTTTTTCCACACTTTTTTAGGAGATGTGAGTACTTGAGTATGGGTGGGTGAATCACTATGGACATATGTGGTCAGGCTGACATAGGACTCTGCGGAAGAGAAAAATCTAGAAGAGAAGCATCCATGCTTTTAGAAAACAAAGTCTGTCTTTGCAGTCCCAAAGGCAATACTTTAAAAAGATGTTGTCTGTGTAGGGTATTTTGTTAAAACTTTATAGATTGGCTAAAACAGAACAAAGAAGAGAAGACAAAAAGAAAGCAACGAACTACAGCAACAATAATTAAACATAAGGGTTTTTTCTTCCTCTAGGAAGAATGCTTGTGTGAATGAAATATTAGCTAACAGTTTCAATAAAAGCTTACCACATTTCATTGTAATTGTCCAGACATAATCCACATCTAGGAGCAACTCGCTTATAACGTCAGGTCTTTGATCCACTGAATAATCCACGGCCATGAATTTGTCTTTCCAATGTTGAAAGACTAGCTTCTTAGCAAAAAGAAGATAGATCTCTACAGCTGTTTTAAATTTAAATCTTTCTAATGCTTGCTTTAAATGGAAAGTTTCCCCCCCCCATATTTGTTTAAAAATGTATATCTAAATCCCTATCTAGAAATCTCTCAGGGAGGATTTGTAGAACTGTGATTGGGTTCGATGCCTTATCACACAAATGTTGTGCTGCATATGCTTGCAGGAGTGCAGTGTGGGACTAAACTTTGCTGATGAACAAGAGGCACAATCTTTTCAACAAATGGTGGAAGAGAAGATTCAGAAGAGGAACCAGAGGGGTAGGTGGAAGGTCCCTACCAGGAGATGTAGCTCCAGGGGATGCTTTTTGTCTGAATCCCATTTCTTCAGGCAATATTTGTCCTGTTCGAAAGATTATTTTGGTGAGAGACCCAGTCGCACCTTAGAAATTAATGCAAGTGAGGAGTTGTGTTTCTGGAGAAATATTACTCTGGGTATGGGTCTTTTGAGACCCTAGAATTTACAGAAGGGAAATTGATCATTAAATACTACTCCTTTAAAAAAAGTGAAAGCTTAGCTGCTTTTGGTCCTGCAAAATTCCAAATGCATTTTTTAAAAAGGGAAAATGGAAAGAAATTACAGTAAAGAAAATGCTTCCCTTTATTGGGAATGCAAATGTATTGCAGGCTGTTCAGAGCCCCAAACTGCTTTCTGCAGAATAATTCTGAAATTTAGGCTAATATCTCTACAGAAATATACTTGTTTTGCCTCCAGAAAAATACACACTTGGATTCTTTACCCCACATGGTGGTTTTGTAATGTTAGGATTCATACCGTATTTAATGCTAAAGTGATTTCTTCTTAACCTTCAGATCATCCAAATCATTCAGATTAAGAAGGAAGAAAACACTCCTCATCTGCCTCCGTTGTTGATATTCTTGGCAAATTTAAGATCATTGTCCTCTTTCGCTGATTACCTTATTTAGGGGTGGGCGTGGGATGAGGGAGTAGAGCCTGACTTCCAACCTGGACAAGAAATGAATGGAGCTCCTTACTAATGCTGTTGGGAACTTTTCACCCTGCAAGTCTCAGGTTCCTCTTGCTGTGATAGCGATTGCCTGAAATGCTTGAAATGCATAGTCTAATTGCTGTGGATGTCACTGAGCTAGATGGTGTGAAAGCCTCACTCAGTCTAAAAATGTTTCCAACTTTCCAGGACTGAAAACATATTTATATTCAGTGGTGGGATTCAGTCAGTTCGCACCAGTTCGGCAGAACCGGTAGCTAATTTTTTGTTGCCCAGGCCCAGAATGGACTTCCGGAAGTGGCATCCACACAGAGAACCGGTTGTTCACATATTTGAATCCCACCACTGTTTATATTGTCTCGGAATTCCAGGCTCTTAGGCAGGTTTCAGCAAGGATCTTGATAATAACTTGTGACAAAATTCTCCTGGTTTTCTTCAAGGAAATCCAACTGTGCCCAAACTAAATGGAACAAACCCTGTACTACTGTATTCAGACAGCCAAATCATTCTTGAAAGTTGAGAGAAAGAGCGTGAAACATTTTACTGTTAATGTTCTATATATTTTCTTTTCTGCTTTACAGATAACAGACAATTGCCCCCGCCACCCCCTCCAGTGAACGGCGGTATGTATCCCCTGTATTTTTCTCATAATCTGTTCATTATTTGCTTTTCGCAATCAAGCTCCTTTCTGATGTGTATCCGCTACAAATGCTGAGCGTGGAGTAGCCGTTAATGTCAGTAGGATGGCTGGGCAGAATTTCTGATAATAACAGTTTAGCTGTAAGTTGTACTTACTCTGCGTTTGCTCTCATTGGCAGAGAGAGTGGAAAATTATTGCTGTAAAGACAGTGGAATCCTAGAAAGATTGATTTGGAGCACACGGACAGCATTGCTGGTTATGAGAAGTTCTCAGCCAGTCCAGTTTTAGAAAAGACCATTTCAATGCAAAAAATTGGCCGGGAACATTTGACACTGAACTATTTACTGACCATCAGTCTTTTTGCTTTTATTAGATAGAAAAGCAACTTTCTCACGGCCCCCACTTTCTGGAGTTGATATGAATGGTAAGCATTCTGGTAAAAGTTGGGTTGCAGACTTCTGAGGGCACATATGCTTTTTATCTTAGAGTGTATATCTACAGAGCACAAAAACATGAAACAGCTTTCTTTAAATTGTTCTTAAATGTATTGGGACTATGAATTTAGCACAGCTGGAAGAAAAATTGATGTAGATATGTAACAAACTGCAAGTATACACTAGGAAAAACAGTCATTTAAAATATTTCTAGTAAAAGAGGTTTTTCGCACTTTGTTTGAAAATATCCAAAGAGGTACAACAGGCGTAGGCAACCCAAGAATCTCCAGATATTATTGGACTTCCAACACCCTTAGGAATAACGATGATGAGTGAAGAAGCTGAGGGTTCAGCATGTTCTGAATGCTAATGGTTACAAAAATGTGTGAGATACATTTTCCCCTTAAAACTGTTTCCCCATAAGAGCTCCTAGATTTGCTTAAATTTCACAACCAATAACATAGTCTGGTTGAGGAGGGAGGGAGGGAGGGAGGGAGGGAGGGAGGAAGGAAAGATTTTAGTGAGTTGTCAGATGTTGTGATGGTAGTTGCAAGAAAGCTGATTGTTCTCTCATCCTTGTCTTGTGTTTCCCAAAGGACCTTGCTCACAGCCAAATTCCCCTTCCTCTCCAATGTCTCTGGCAACTGTTGATATACAGAATCCTGACATCACTTTTTCCCGCTATCGTGGTCTCCCAGTCCCAACTGCGGTAGATAAGAAGAAGGGCAAAAAGAAGATTTCTAAGGCTGACATTGGTGCTCCTTGTGGATTTAAGTGAGTCCTTCTAGAGCTATGTAGATTCCTCAGTCTCTTTGGTAGGGTTCCAGATTGACAAAGAGCCAGCTGCCCCATTCCCACTGAGCATGGAGCACCTAAAAACTCTGCATTTCTCTCTGTTTCCAAGTTTAGATGGCCAACTAAGTGTATCTTTTCTGCCAATCATTCCACTGGCCATGACATCAGTCAAATCCAGCTCTGTGATGGAACAAGGTTGATGGTCTTCACCTAACTGGATGTCTTCTATGATTCCTTTTCAGGCACATCCAGCACATTGGATGGGATCCCAGCAGTGGATTTGATGTACGTAGCCTTGGCAATTCAATTTGAAAGGATATACGGTAGTTTTCTGAGGGTTCTTGGATGTGAGATTAAACGTTTGAGTTATTGCAGCCCAATTCCATTGTTTTATGTGTGAGTTGCCCATTTACCCCATGCATGAGTGGCAGTCATGAAGCACTCTCTCTTAGTTTTTGCATGTACATCCAATTTTAAAGTTTCACTGGATCCAATTGCTGTGCAGCCATGATAGACTGCTGCGAAAAAGAAGACAAAGTAAAACTGGCTTACAACTTAACAGGAGGAACTGCTCTCCTTAATACTCAGTTCAGTAGGGCAAGTGTGAACCAGAGGTTTCTTTAATACTAAGGAATTTCCCTGGGTCTTAAGTAGTCTGTTAAGTAGTCTTTAGTACAGCTTGTGCTCTTCATTTCTTTGGCCTCATTTGGATGCTGGAACAAAAGGTGGAATAATGGAAGAAAGAAGGGAAACAATTCATTCCTTTCTTCCCTCAGCTACCTTCCATGTTGTCTTTCCCCTTCTATGAGCCATTTATTATTTTCCTTGCAGGAGTTATCTTTCACCTGCCCCTGCCCCCTGAAAAAAACAACTATCAGGAACTCTGCATAGCAATGTGTGTGTATATATATTGGGAGTGGTGATATATAGGGTGAGGCGATGTTGCCAACTAAGAGTCAAAGTAAAGATTAAAACCACCATTTTTACTACCATCCATCGTATGTATGTATGTATGTATGTATGTATGTATGTATGTATGTATGTATGTATGTAAGTATGTATGTATGTATATATGTATATTTGTATGTATGTTGTATTATTTATGTGCTAAATATGGCTCAGGCTTTAGGACCATTTGGTTACGAGGGTTTGAGATAATAATTGGGGCTCCTGTTTGGACTGGGATTTCCTTATCCCTTCTCTCCATGTAATTCCATGTTAAGAATTATCATATAATATATACTTGTCCTGGATCATTTTTACTAGCTTAAAAAGGCTGTTGTTAAACTATCATCCTCATGAATACATGTTGACATATTTTTTATTTCAGTTGAACGATTTGGACCCTGATTTGAAGACATTCTTTTCTAAGGCGGGAATCAGCGATGCTCAGTTGACTGATGCTAAGACTTCAAAGATTATCTATGATTTCATTGAAGGTCAAGGAGGGTTGGAAGCTGTCAAGGAAGAACTGAGACGACAAGGTGAGTTGCTGGAGCAGAAAAATATATCTGATTCACAGGTGACTTTGGTCCCCTTTTTTACTTGATTTGAACCAATCAGTGGTTTCATACCCTGGCATTTATCAGTAATGCCACCTACTGAAAGATGTGCATATCTGAGTAAATGGTCTGGGTTTGGATGGACTGATTGATAAAAGGAGTAATTATATTAATCTCTATAGTAAAAATAAAAAGGAATCTTGGGATACTTTAGAGAGCAATTTATTTATTTTTTTCAATTTATATAGCCACCCATCTCTTAATCTGGCCAGCTCTCATAATTAAAAATAGTCACAGTATGTGAAACAGAACCACATTCTTTATAAATGATATTTTATACATGTTTATGCATGTTATTTTAAATTAATATTTATATTTGAATTCACTTTATAGAGTCAGACCAATCATCCACCTAGCATAGTCAGCTGTGAATGGTAGTTAAAGGTAAAATGCTTTTGAGATTGATGTTGATGTCCACACGGGTACAACCATGCAGATTTCTTAGAACAGTGTGGAAATATTTATATAGAATGGTCACAATCTGTACTTTTTTATATTTCTTTGGCATTTGGAATTTATCATTTTCTTATTTGTCTGGAATGATCTTAAGAAAGCTTATTATGCATCTGATGATGTTTGTACCCAATGTAGACATGGTAAAACCATTTTGTCTTTATACAGAACATTTGTTGTTTTTTTCTGATTATTGTGTGATTTAGCACTCCAGTATCATGAATTTGAATATTCATTTTTTTTTTCAGGTCCAAGTCATCCCCCACCCCCACCCCCACATCGTGCGAGCCCTCATCCCCCAACTAGTGGGCAAGGCCGAAGTGGTCCTTTACCACCTCTCCCAGGTGCTCCTATGATATCAAATAGGGGAGATGTCCCCTCCCCACCACAATCTTCTAGGCGACCTCCCTGCCCCCAGGGGGGACCACCTCTACCCACTTCACGTTCTGGATCACATCCTCCTCCACCACCCCCATTAGCATCAGGCCCACCTCCACCACCACCCCCTCCACCACCCCCTCCTTCATTCCAGGGTTCTGCACCATGCCCCCCTCCTCCTCCTTCTGGAGGGCTTGGATCACTGGGGACCCAGCCGCCTGCTATCTCTTCAGGGCGTGGTGCACTGCTGGACCAGATACGCCAAGGAATACAGCTCAACAAGGTGAGATGACCTTGTTTTAAATTATATTCATTTATTACTTTTATTATTATATTAATTTATAGCACAGTTTTCTAGTTATTTTGACTCTCCAGGCAGCTTATAAACAAGGTAAAATTTCAGAATAGAAAACAATAACATAAATGCAATAAAACTAAACCAAAACTAAAATCAGCATTAAAAGTATATCTAAAAGTTGATTGTTGTATATCTTTGGGAAATTAGCAAATCAAAGGAAAAATGGTCTAATCTTCTTCACCTAATATCTAGAGTTCTAGATAGAGGGAATATTTATATATGGAATTGTATTTAATTATGATACTTTCTCTATTGTTTGCAATCTGAGTTGACACAAGTTTAGCATATTCCCGAGAAAGATGCTTTAAAAATAATGAGATTAGCACTTATATCCATTTATGTAATATCAATTTATACTAGTTCAGTTTTCAATAACCACACAAAGAACTGGAAATTCTTAGTAAGGGTTCTAGAGAGCTTCAGTATAGGAAGCCCTATTTAATATCATTATTAAGTCATTGGGAGACATTGGACCAATTACGGTACTCCCTCTCAGCTCAACTCACCTGAGTGGTACTTGCGGGGAAAATAGGAGGAAGGAATATTAGTTACGTTCACTGCCTTGAGCTATTTGTAAACAATAATAAACACAGGACAAAAGTAATAAATAAATACATATATAAATAAACACATAAATATATGTATGTATTTTTCCTGCATTTTAGACACCCGATGTTGTGGACTCTCCACCTTCCATGCAGAGTCCTGAAGGCCTGGTAGGGGCTCTTATGCATGTGATGCAAAAGAGGAGCAAAGTCATTCACTCTTCAGGTGAGTCTTGTATACATCCATATGATATTTCTTTCTTTCAGGCTTATACACTTACATATAATTTCTCAAGGTTCCAAAAGTTCAGAGCTTTGTGATTATTTGGACTGTAAAAACAAAGCAAAGCTCTGAGGAAGATCCAGGGCCATTTTGTGGGAAGTTCAACTTCAAGTCAGGCTGCGTTACCCTGGTGTTGGATCAAAAGACATAGGGATCAAGACAACTGAAATGAGTGTTGGAGAGGGAAATCTGTTTACGCACATCCACATATACTTCTGAGAAGCTGTTGTGCTGACATTCTTGAAATGCTATACAGCTTTGGGTTCCTGTTCTATTGTATTTTTCTGTTCTACTGTATTTTCATAGATGAAGGTGAAGACAATGGCGATGAAGATGATGATGATGAATGGGATGACTGAGCCTAGAAATGCACCCTACACGAAGTTTGATCCTTCTTTCAACCTGTTGCCAGAGGCATTTAATTGGATGATGACTCTGCTATAATGCTCCCCTCCCCATCTCTGCAGATACTTCTGGAATCCCAGTAAGGCAGAGGCAGCTCTGCTTTAATGAGGGCAGCAAAGGGGTTAATTTTTCCATCCTCCTTTTCAAAATCACTTAGGCCTAAGCATATTCTCCTCCCCCACCTGTGCACCTGGATGCCTTTGACAGTTTTAGAAAGTAAGATTGTAATCCTCTCTCTTTCAGCCCTCCAATTTTGACCATTCATAATCTCCTGCATTTTTTTTTTCTAATAGTTGTATCATCTTTCAGCCAACCGTTTCCTGAACCTTTCTTTTGCTTACCTAATTGTGTTTCCCCCCCCCAAGTTTTGATGCCCAAATGCTGGCATGAGAATGACAAGAATGTAAGAAAGTTCTTTTTATTTTTATTTTGAAATAAAATCCTTTTATGTTGTTAACTCATACTGAAACTTTAATTATTTAAATTGCACATCTTTCAAAAGAATGCTTTGGCACTAGAAGGGGAACTGACTTCTATTCTTTACAACAAACATATGCTTATTTACATTTTACCAGCATGATAACACACACACACACACACACACACAACACATACATACATGACACATACGTACTGGCAATTATAGTATTTTCTTTATATATATACGTATATATATTATTAATTTTATAGGGTTAGGGTTTTTATAAAATAACATTCTTAATACTTAGCAAACAGCATGTTGTCTGGGTTCATGTATTTAAAAAGTAATGAGTAATAATTAATTTCTATATTATCATAATCAATATGTTACTTAATCGCTCAAAGTCTTCTTCTTACTAGTATATATTTAATGTTACATAGTACATATTACGTTCCTTTCTCTCTCACTTGTTTTTCTAGCCATTGATAAAAATTATCCCATGTTCTAAAGTACAGAGTCTTCTTTCTCTTTTATCTTTAATGTCAATTTGTCAATTTCTGCACAATCTAAAATTTTCTTAATTAGTTCTTCTTCTGTTGGTAAGTTTTCATTTTTCCAATATTGGGCAAATACTATTCTTACTGCAGTTAATACATGTAAAATTAAGTATATACAGTCTTTCTCATAGTTTCCTCCTATTATGCCTAACAGAAACAATTCTGGCTTAAAATCTATATATTTTTTAGTCATTTTTCTCTAACCATACATGTATTTTTGACCAAAATCTTTTAGCTTTAGGGCATGTCCACGAGATATGATAATAAGTACCTGGATTTTGTTTACATTTCCAACACTTGCTCGACGTATTTTTAAACATTTTCACTAATCTCACCGGTGTTAAATGCCATCTGTAAAACATTTTATATAAGTTTTCTTTATAAGCCACCACTTTCGTTAATTTAGCGTTTCTTTCCCATAAACTTTGCCAGTTTTCTAATTCTATATTATGTCCAAAGTTCTTTGCCCATATTATCATTGCTTCTTTTACTTGTTCCTCTTCCATCGTTAAGCTTAAACAAATATGTATAGACTTTCTTAATTAATTTTTCATCTGTTTTTAACAGTATCTGGTCAAATTCTGTCTGTTCTTTATAAAATCCCGTTGTTTTAGCATCTTTTTCATATCTCATTTGAATTTGCAAGTATGGCCACCATGATAAATCAATACCCTGTTCTTGTAAATATTGTGTCTTTCAGTTTCCCTTCATTGTTCAAAATATCTTGATAGGTCACAACTTTCTCATAGTTAATGATACACACACAAACACACACACACATAACACATACATACATGACACATATGTACTGGAAATTATAGTATTTTCAATGGATTTGATTCTGAGGTATTCTTTTATTCCCAAAAGAGGGAATGATTTGTCAGTTCTCTCCTTAAACCAGCATTCCGAGGTCTTAGTGGTTTTCCAGCTACTGGATTCAAATGAGCACAGACAGAAGAGGTTTGCTGTACTACCTGAGGTTATAGAAACTGTTTTCTGAATGGTAGCAGGCTTGGAATGGGGCTATTGACTGAGAATAAGAGAAGATGGGAAAACTTCATTTCATGCATTGTTCAGAAAAAGGAAATGTACTTTTATAAGAATGTGTTTATTAGACTAAAAATAAAAATTAATTCTAAACTTAATTTGAGTCAACTACTTTTTTAAAATATTGGCTGAAATTAAATAATCTAATTTCATGAGATTTCAGTTATCTTGTATATTCTCTTCTGATATAAGATTTTGGCCATTTAAAAATAGTTTAACTGTAGAAGAAATTGGATATTATTAAGGCATTGGGATATTCTGTTGCTGAACCCTTATCTAGCTCCTTACTGTAAATTCAGGTTCAATTTTTGAAATTTTGGCATCATGGAGACTATTTAGACCAGTGGTTCTCAACCTTTTTAATGCCTATACCGGTCATAAGTCGAGGACTAAACCGGTCGTAAGTCGAGGACTACCCAACCGGTCGTAAGTCAAGGACTTTCCCTGCCGGGGAGCGCCGTACATGCGTGGTTCCGCTCCCTGCGCCAGCTGAGGCGTAGCTGGCAAGCGGCAGAGACGGAGCAGGCCGACCACCAGCTGGCCCAGCTCAAGGGAGGTAAGGCACCCACCGGAAAAGGGGAAAAAAATGGCGGACAGCCTTGCTTGGCGACCCCCGTGAAATGGTCGATCGACCCCAAATGGGGTCGCGACCCATAGGTTGAGAACCGCTGATTTAGACAATGTAAACAACCATCACAAGATTCTTCTTTTTTTTTCAATTCAAATACACCACAATTTAAATCTTTGGAGATACCTCACAGTATTTAAGTTGTAAAGAAACACCTCTTTTCAACCTAATATAACAAAAAATCTTTGAACACTCAGATTTACAACAGGATTCCATTTTATTTTCTGTCTGTCACATGGCATTAGTCTCAGAGTGCTGAATTCTTCTAGATAGCTGCTGAGAATATAGCAATTTATTCATAATTTTTACAGTTTAGAAGATAATGCAGTTCTAATACTGAATGGTAAATATAACTATCCAATTTTGCAGTGTCTAAAGTCAGATCCGGGAGTTAAAAAAACACAAGGACTTAGAAATAATAACTCAGAGATCAAAAGGTAACAGAGGAATGGAGCAAGATTGTCCTGACCAATGGAAAATGAGTTCCAGTTCAATGTTGGTTGAGGCATTTTAAAAATGGATCTTGGTACTCATGAGACCAAGCTGGGTGGGACAAATTAAGATTTCATAATTATTTGAAGAGATGGTTGAAGAATGGGGAAATCAGACTGTATTATTTCACAAACTTTTAGTAAAAACATGGATTGTGATGCAAACAGATAATTGTGGTGGTGATTTGGTATCTGAATCCTTATATATGTATAGGATTCTACCACTACCATCCGCCCCCAAAACTGGTAAAGGAACCAATTGGCTATATTTCTTCTATAAGATTTAAAAAAGAACACAAAATGGGAAGCAGCATTTCTCCAGGGCAGATTTCCCCAGTCTGATGCCCTTTGTATGTATTGAATTGCATTTTTATTAGTCCATTATAATATTTAACTGTGTAATTTGAGGAAACAGTACAAGTTTTATGCTAATAATGTTTGATAGTTTCAAATTGAATAAAACTTCTTTAGATGTGACTTTATTTTGGATTTGAGGGCAAAAGAGGCAATCGTAGTGGTACAAATAGGAAACGTCAGATTTAATGAGTTAATGGCTTGAGCAGTACTCTTTAGATTTACATTATTAGGTTTAGGTTTATTTAAATACATGCAGCTCATCTGAATACACAAGTGTATGGAAATGCAACAGCATGCTATGGTGGGTTAAACAACGGAATATCAAATACCAGTATATTAAAATATAATACTATCAGTAATATAATAAATGTACTATACCAACAGGATACAAATGTTCCTGATCAAAAATTGCCCAAGAAGTTAGATACACCATCCCCATTATCTTTGTAATTGTAACAATATTCCATGAAAAAAGATAACCAACTGGTCAAAATCCAACAGATTTGGGTTATAAAATAGAAGATTTAGAGAAGCCCTGTATGAATGTGAAGTAAGGTGTGCATTTACAAGTAGTCCTTGACTTACAACAATTCATTTAGTGACCATTTGAAATTACAAAGCACTGAAAAAGTCACTTATGACGGGTTTTCACTTATGATTGTTGCAGCATTCCCATGGTCACATGATCAAAATTTGGAAGCTTGGCAACTGGTTCATATTTATGACGGTTGCAATGTCCACCTAGGGTCATGTGATCACCTTTTGCAGTCTTCTGACAATCAAAGTCAATGGGTAAGTCAGAATCACTAAACAACTGTTACACTAATTTAACAGTTGCAGTCATTCACTTAACAACTTGGCAAGAAAGATTATAAAATGTGGCAAAATTCACTTGACAACTGTCTCACTTAGCAACAGAAAGTTTGGGCTCAATTGTGCTCATAAGTCAAAGATTACCTATATAGCGTAAACGTTTCTCTATTCTATACAGAATATTTTGTTTGCTGCTTTCTGCCTACAATACTATTTTGCAATACTAAGTTGCTACCAGACAACTTTTAGTAATTACCAAATATTATCTTTGTTAATAAAAGATATTTGATGGTTTTATTAGAATTGGACACAGAAACTGAATTAGTTAAAGATTGTATGATTAAATGGGCTCAAAATATAGGAGAAACAATACCTATGGACACTTGGGAGTTAATCTGGGTGAGAAATGTGAAGTTCACACAAGCTCAAAATCTACGTGAGAATTTTTATAAAATGTTTTACAGATGGCACCTGGATCCCTCAACCATGTCACGTATTTATGCGAATTATGAATCCAAGTGTTGGAGGTGTGGACATCCAGATGCAACTTTTTTTCATATGTGGTGGACTTGTAAGGTTATTAAGGCTTTTTGGATACGATTGTGGTGGAACTTACAGCAAATTTTTAAGAAAAGGATTATTTTTCTCCCACAGTTGTTTCTTTTAGGTATTGCTCAAGATTTAGATGCAAAAGAAATAAATTTGATGCTTTACTGCTTATCTGCTGCTCGTTTGTTGATAGCCCAAAGCTGGAAGAGTCCAATTCTGCCTACAATGGAAGACTGGAGATTGAAAGTGTCGAATCTTGCTGAAATGGCAAAGATTTCGGCTTACCTGAAGAATTATTCGAATGAACAATTTTTATTAATATGGAGAAGATGGATTGTTTATATTCAAAAGAAGCATAGATTGTTAGAATATAATTTAGGTTACTAGATTTTTTTCTACTCTTATTTTTTTTTT